GTATTCACGATGGGCTGGAGTTCCCGACGGAGGAGGAGCGCGTTACGCTTCGCCGTGTCCCCGACTCTGTCCCATGGAACGCCTATCGTGCGTCGATGCTATTTATTTTCATAGACTAACTGACGCACCACTCCCAGTCATCGCGTTTGTGGAACTTGCGGAACGATTCTCGGTGTGTGCCTTTCGCTGCGCTCCCGACCCGTCGCAGATTACTGATAACGATGGTCTCAGTTCTACGGCTCCAGCGTCGTCTTCGTACGTCCTCGATCAACCCCACCCTTGAGCAGCCGCTTAGCCGCCCCACAGACGAACTTCATCCAGCAACCCCTCCCCCCAGGCTCGCACACCGGCGCTGGCGGCTTGAAGGGCGTGTCGGGCGCGTTGGGGATGGGCCAGCGCGCATCGACGGGACTGACGACCTTTTATCAGTTCTGGTATGTACGCTTCTCCCACCTCATGCTTCATGTGCGGGAATCCATCACTGATCATCCATGCGTAAATTAGGTGCTACGTGACGCCGCTCCTGGGCGCCTACATCGCCGATACGTACTGGGGCCGCTATAACACCACCTGTGTCGCGGTCGTGATTGCGCTAATTGGGCATATTATCTTGATCGTGGCGGGTGCGTCTGGCGTGCTCCACGAATGATGCCTGGACGCTGAATGTATGTCTACAATAGGTGTTCCGGGGTAAGCCTTGCCGTTTTCTGAAACGAAAATTGCGAATGATTCCGCAGTGTCATCGAGCACAAGAGCGCAGTGGGAGCATTCATCGTGGCGCTCCTCGTCATGGGATTCGGTGCGTCTCGAGTTGGCAGGAGCTGTGGAGTGGGATGGAATGGATGATTGATTCCCGCGGCAGGCACCGGGCTATTCAAGGCGAATATTTCACCGCTGGTGGCAGAGCAGTATCGGCGTACAAAACTCTTCGTGCGCACGACGAGCAGCGGGGAGAGAGTCATCGTGGATCCTGCGCTCACGATTTCGCGCGTATACATGTACTTCTACCTCTTCATCAACATCGGCGCGCTTATCGGGTATGTTCCATTCATCGATTCATTCGCCAGCGCTCATGGCGTCACAGCCAAATCGGGATGACATACTCCGAGCGCGTACGTCCGCCTCTCCCCTAATACTCAACTCCCAACTGACGCGCGCCGGCAGTACGTGGGTTTCTGGCTCGCATACACGCTCCCGACGGTCGTCTTTCTCCTCTGCCCCATCGTCCTCTTCGTTGGACGCAACCGGTACGTGCGCATGCCGCCCACGGGCTCCGTCCTCGCCAGCGCTTTGCGGCTCTGGCGCTTCGCCGCGCGCGGGCGCTGGAGCCTCAACCCTGTGCGCTGCATCAAGCAGCTCCGTGCGCCGGGATTCTGGGAGAACGCGAAGCCGAGCCACGTGGAGAAGACGGTGGAGGGAAGGCCGAAGTGGATGACGTTCGACGACGCGTGGGTGGACGAGGTGAAGCGCGGGTTAGGCGCGTGCGCGGTGTTTTGCTGGTCAGTCGGTTCTCACTAGTCAGAATACTGCTGAAGTCTCCGCGGAAGGTACCCGATATACTGTGGGTGGTGCTTAATCGATCCATTCGCGGGCTGAGTTGTATCGCTTGGAGGGCTCACCTACGGACAGTTGAACAATAACCTGACATCGCAGGCCGCGACCATGGTCACGGGCAAAGTGCCGGTCCGTCTCTCGTCTTCCTTCTCATACTTGCAATGTCAACAACCTGCCGTTCGCAGAACGACGTGCTGTCAAATCTGGACCCTCTCGCGCTCATCATCTTCATCCCCATCTGCGACCTGGTGGTACGCCTCCCTTTCCCTACCAGAAGCGACTCCTTGTATCGAGCACTGTGCAGATCTACCCCGCCCTGCGCCGGTACGGAATCAACTTCACGCAGCTCAAGAAGATCACCGCGGGGTTCGTCACGGGCTCGGCGGCGATGATCTGGGCTGCTGTCGTGCAGCACTACATCTATAAAGTGAGACGCCCCCCATTCCGCATCTCCCATCTTTGACTGAAATTCTACGGCTCCCAGACGAACCCGTGCGGCGAACACGCATCAACGTGCTTTGACGCCAACGGCGTGCAGATCCCCTCGCCGTTGAACGTGTGGATCCAAACCGGCGCGTCAGTCCTTCCTGTCATCCAGTTCTGGCGAGCGTATACTGACGACACTACTATAGCTACGTCCTGATTGCTTTCTCCGAGATCCTCGCGTCCATCACGGGGCTGGAGTATGCTTTTACGAAGGCGCCGAAGAACATGCGCTCTCTCGTCATGTCCGTATTCCTCTTCATGAACGCGCTCTCCTCCGCTGTTGCTGAGGCTTTTGTCTGTGAGTTGCTTCCCCCTCCTCTTCCATCGCTCCCTCCATTGATCTTATACTCGTTGCGTCCGCGTAGCACTCTCCGCGGACCCGCTTCTCGTATGGAACTACGGCGTTATGGCCGTCCTCGCGGCCGTCACCGCCGTCCTCGTCTGGTTCTCCGTGCGCAAGCTCGACGCGAAGGAGGACGAGCTGAACAACCTCGCCGAGGGCCATGTCGAGGCGAAGCATTGAGTAAAATTTGGGTGCCATCACGATTTGGTGGTGTATGATGCGGTATGATATTATGAGATGTGAATGTAATTCTTGTGTCAACAAGGAACTCCCGACCCAAGGCAAAACATAAATGGAAAGCTAATTCTCGAACGCATGGTCAGTAATGCTGCACTGTGCTGGGAGGGAGCCGGATTAGACGAGCGCCAAATTCTCTGGTGGATAGATGAACGGGAGAATCATAGCCGGTGAATGTTAATGGCGTACCTCGAACCAAAGTAATCAACGACACCGAGTTTCGAGGTCGGAATAAGCGCACGCTGTGCGAGAGAGGTAGGCTCACCAAATTGCGCGAGGCCATCCGGGGGAAATGTCGATCCATCGTTTGGGCGTCTGTGCTAGCAGGCATCTGGCCTCTAGGATGGGGAGCGTTTCCACGTGGAGTGACGCCGCTTTGGAGTCGAGCCGTTTGTGGGTGATGTCGAAGAATCTAGCCATCCCGGTGATTACGATCTTGCGGATGCGGTTTCGTGCTGCGATTTCAGAGAGGGTGTCGAGGACCCCGCGCGCCCCGCTTCACTCGCTACCGACATGCGGACGAGCGTGAGGTTTGGTAGTATAGAGAGGTCCATACGGTCGGCGTCACCCTGTCCACCAGTCTCAATGACTCAATCCTGGGTACAAAATCTGATACACACCGTAGGATTCAAGGCGACGACCTCGATCGTTTCAAGAGCGGGTATAAACTTCTGCAATCGGAGGACATCCCCATGCTCACTAGAATTGGACAAAAACCTCACGCGGGAGATGTCGAAGGGAGAACGATCGTCGATCAGCCAGTCTCTAAAATATTGTGCGGACCAGCAGCTCCAGCGCGATGGGAACGGAACGACTATGCGTAATAGGGCGCAGATCGTGAGCCGAGGTACCGCAGTAATTCATTCAGTTCCAGGTGCTTCAGGGTCGATGGACAGCAGTCCCAGAGCCAAAGAAAAACCGATACGTCCAGGAAAAGAGCTGTGATCCTGACGCGTCTGAGAGCATGGATGGCTAGACTCGTTACCAGTCTGCCTACGAATGGCAAAAATGTGGCAAGCACTTTGCCGTAGGCAGACTGGTACAACTCGGAACAATCAATTGGGCTGAGCCCGGAGTTTGAATTTTTCTTGTGACCCACGCCCTGGCTTCAAATTCAAGTATTATCATTTGCTCACAGTTGAAGACTTCATTCCATGAGCTATATCTTAACTTCTGTCTCTTCAAAATTTTCTTGTATACGCTCCATGGAGCACAACGTCGACCTCAGTTTGATTGATAAATTCACTTTCGGACCGAGCCCCGGTGATCGGCGTGATCGGCACCACCCAGAATTTGAAACTCCGGGCCCAGGTCAATTGTTTGTTCCGAGTTGTACCAGTCTGCCTACGGCAAAGAGCTCGCCTCATTTTTTTGCTCTTCGTAGGCAGACTGGTCACGAGTCTACTTTGTCCTCCTCCACTACGGCCAAGGTGCATCGCAGACAGCCGGCCAACGTCAAGCACAGCACATGGAGGAGAAAGCTAACCCGTTGGGATTGCAGGAGCTCTTAGATCAGTGCATCGAATTCCTCCGCGAGCGCTCAGCGCCCTGGTTTCGCGTTCGTGGACGTCCGCAGCACGGGCACAATTCTTCGAAACAGTATCCATCACCGCTTCAGATGGATCGTGGCCTCGACTTGAACAGCTTTTGTGCTGCTCCCTGCACCTCGTTCGCTACATCCGCCGGCTTGACCTGGCTTTTTTAGGCTCGCTCAAAAACATCTCGGCGACTGCAAGTTCCCAATCCCCCATATCCATTGCATTTAAAGTTATCATAGATGGGTCGCCAGGCCTCTCCTTGTCGAACTCGCCATCCAGGAATTAATCGCCATCCATTAGACTCGTTACCAGTCTGCCTACGAATGGCAAAAATGTGGCAAGCACTTTGCCGTAACGAGTCTAAGGACAAAGCTTGTCGACACATGTGACACGCGACCGCGAGGCCGACGCGGCGGATCAGCAGCTGAAGTTCGGATCACTGACGCGGACACGGGCCTTGCCGCGAAATCACCACGGCCGAAGGCAGCTGGCCGTTTGTCTTTCCTGACCACAACGGGTGTTGAGCGCGGTGTCTCGCACTCATCATGGAATATTGCTGCTCCAGGATCCCACTGTGCTGTATCTTTCGCTGGGGCGAGACTACCTCGAGCCTAGAGGTTGTGATGTCTCCTCAAGCCTCGTGCCTAGATATCGATGTCCACTCGTTCGAGCTCTCCGTGGGTGATCTAAAGAATGCGTCTGAAATGTGGTGTGCCGAGGAAAATTTTGAGCGTCGAGAAACCTAACTTAGCAACCTTCAATATGAGCCTGGAGAAGCCTTCTTCATCATTCGACTCCCAAGCAAAGACTGCATTCAGGCGAGATTGCTGGGGTACATGAGAGGCCTAGTGGCGAACGGAATCGCACCCCCACTGGGTCAGGCGACGTGCAACTTCATCATCGTGGGCGCTCCTGGTTCGACTCCAGGCTAGGTCATAAGCGTCGAATTTTGCTTTTACTCGAGTAGGTTTGTACTCCTCGAGGGCGGCCAGGCGAAGCCGCCTGCATAGCTCCGCCGCACTCCAGCAAGCGTACCGAGGACGGGTGCTCTCAATGTTCCGACAGAAGCTGGAGTACAGAGCGAGGAGAGGGGCGGCCATGAGACAAACAGAAGAGATTGACACCGAAAGGAAACACAGGCATGGCAGGCAAAGTGGTGCAGAACAGGACCAGAGGATGGATTCGAGGTCACATTTGATCTGACGCAAGCCACCGATGCGGGGTTTTCGCCGTATGAATATTCTGCGTGTCGGAGCCCTGCAATATGAGCTGTGAGAAAGCAGCAATCTTGCGAAGTAGCTTTGCTAATCCCTCGCCTAGCTGACATCTGTCCATTCGCCTGCTAAACTGCTGTATTTCTCGAGGGTTTCGCTGTAAGACTCAGACAAAATGAATCGGGGAATGAATCGCGACCTCAAATTGGGGCCGTAGTCGCAGTGAACCACTCGAGGGAGTTCCTGGTTCGAATCCAGGCTAGGTCTTCCCATACCTCGGGCCTGAGTATCTTTTTGGAGGGTGATTTGAATTCAGTGCTGTCCGAGCGCCGCGTTGTTTGTCCTGTCCATTTCAAATGACGCGCCCGCACGTTCCGTGTTGGGGAGCTTTTGAGCCGGGAGACTTTGAAAGCTATGGTCTTCACCCTGCGTCCGATCCGCTTGGGTATCCTCTCGCCCGTGGTACACAAAACACGGACATCTATATATGAGATTGCGGGAGGAAGAAGACCTGGTAGCGAAATGCATCGCACCCACACCGATTATGTCCCACGCATTGCATAACCGTGGGGACTCCTGGTTCAAGTCCAGGCTAGGTCATTCTTTATCTGCAAGCGTCTTTTGTCCCGCCCGCCATTGTTTTATCATCTCACCTGCGAATGAAATGGGCAATTATGTGAGGTAACTGTGGTCAGAAAGAGACCTAGTAGCGAAATGAATCGCACCCTCACATTTGTTCAATGAATGGTGAATGGTTGTCCGAGGGCAGTCCGGGTTCAAGTCTAGGCTAGGTTGTTGTCGTTGTCGTCCTATTTTTTATCCTCGCGACTGCAAGGTAAATGGGCACCCAGAGGAGTGGCTATCGTAAATAGATCGGAAGCCCAGGCAATGTTGTTGACGGCGAACCCAAACAGCTGTCGGAGGGCGGTCCTGGTTTGAACTCAGACTGCGCCATTAGATGCTGCCAGCCTGCGGTGTATCTATGTGCTTTACACTACTGTCTATTGTGCGAGTACGTGACGAGCTGCATTTTGGGACGCGGCGTTCGAGGGAAAGACGTGCCACAAGTTCCAGAGATGCTCTTGGAGATGCTGTACTGGTGCTACTCGTTGTTGACGTTAACAGCGAGTATATCAAGCACCGAAGCTCAACTGGGAAGGAGAAACGTACCAACAAGTGGCACCCGGTCAATACTACGACCGTAAGTGAACGGAGGATAGAGACCAAATAGAGACTGGTGCGCAAAAGTGGGAGCGGGTGACGTCATCTCTCACTGTAGGGAGCGATGATCGCCCGGAAGTTCCCGGAACCTTCTTCCCTCTTGCCGCCATCGCTGCTATCTGGTAAAGCGCCCACTCACACTGAATCCGGCTGGGTCCTGGCTCGGCGCACAGAAATGTTCCCCGAGCTTTCTACCAACGCGGTGCAGGGAGGCTCCACTTGGCGTTGTTGTTCGCACTCGTCCGCAGCGATGCTCTTCTTTTAAGCTATCTATCTCGTTGGAGGGCTAGACGCCTATCCCCCATATACTGTCTGCCTTGAATACTTCGAAGTTTCAATCTGACAGTCGTTCTGATTTCAGTCCTTCACCTGATTGAGGGTCTGTGGTCCATCGAATCGTGTATAACTAGCTGCTCGATCCCGCTGCCCCCACATTGAATTACGAGCTCCATATCACTGTAACCGTCGCCGCAGGCGCGATCGCTGCTGGTCTAGCTCTCATTCTTGTGTGTCTAAAGAAAAAACGGTCTTGACTCCAAGCTACGACCAGAAACGAGTCCCTGGTATCGCGACACAAAAATGCTCGGGCGTTGTTCCCCATGGGTCGAAGAGGTCAGGTTTAACGAGGGAGTAGGCTGTAAGAACAGCTCAACTAGCCGCGCATCAATAACCAATGAGGGAGCACGTAGGGTATTAGAAACGATCAGGTGGCGCAGAGTCCGCACCCACAGCGCGCGTAAGTCCCTGCGACCACATTACACACACGCGGGATCGCCCGTTCGACTCCGGGCCTCGTCATGGGTATACGGGTAGTGGATTTTTTTTGGCATCTCTCTCTAGACGACAGTAGGGGCGAACTCGGAGCCCAAGGACTGAGCTTAACGTTCACGCACGGAATTATTGCCAAAGTTGGGACGCTCAATAGTCATTTCCGGCATAGAGGATAATGTTATTGCCTGGGTTGAACGTTCCAGGACGTATCCATGCATAATCCAAGTATGCGTAGACAAGGCCAGGTATCGGAAGGCGCCATCCGCAACTCTTAGCTTAGTGACGCTTGGAATCGCCGTTCGACTCGGAGCGTGGTCATCGATCTCGGTACGATTCTTTTTCTTCGCTCGACCTATTGCATCGCGCGCTTTCTGGTAACAGGTTTGATCCCTTAAATTGAACGCTGACCACCGAGCGGCGGGGGCAACCTCTGGATCTGGACGCCTTTGTCGAAAATGGCCGGTCAAAGTGGACAATCCATCAAACCAAATACGTCAAACTGGCTAAAGAAAAATGAACGGTCTCAAGTTCGCTTGGTTTGGCCCACCGCTCCGCATTTCAATGAGTCGATTCGCTTAGGTCTATTAGGTCAATTCAACTGAGTTGTGCATCACTTGAATGAGGGTGCCTTTTACAATCGAGCCGCCCGAGAAGGTGCTTCTATTCTTTTAGGTAGAGCTAGCGCTCGTACTGTTGAACCGTCGATTGTGTGCGAGTTTTACGTCCCATTTGACTCAGGTTGTCCGATTTCTAGGTAATATGTTAGACGGGCCGACGGCTGGTGAATCTATCACTCACGTCGGGCTGAACGTAAAGGCGGGGTTTGTCGTATTGACGAAGTTCCACACCGTCTGCTCCTTCAAATGGCTTGCCTTCCAATTGTTGAGCGACGCGGGAAAGTACGGGAGGGACGACACCAAGCTCAAGTCGTGCGAGATGATCACGAAGAAGTCGGGGTCCGCATCGAACGTCGCGAGCTTCTCGAGCGACACTTGGGATGCCACTGGGTCGGCGTAGTAGGAGTCAGGGAGGTCGGACATGGCGAGCAACTGCTGGGCGCGGGAGCGCGTGTCAAACGCGCCTTCGCGTGATTCCGCGGACCAGAAATAGTCAGTGGAGATGGTCGTTTTGGTTTCCTCCAACAGATGCGAGGGGCAAGGGTAGTTCTTCTGGAACTCAGGTCGCGGGCGGACCTGCCCAGCGTGGTGGAAGGCGTCTGCGCCGAGCGAGAGGAAGGAGGTCGGTGTGACGCGCGCAAGGGCGCTTATGTGACCTGTCATGTGCTATGTGGTGTTTGAGAAAACTGCTCCCGTGCATGGCGAGAACTCACACCGGGTGTGTCCACAAGGTAGAAGCTTCCATCACCGAAATAGTCGATGGCTTTCAAGCCGCTGAAGGTAAGATTCGTTGTGTCGAAGTTCAATTCAGTGACGTTGTGCCCGCTAGAGGAGGACGTCAATGCACGTCGACGGATGAATCGGGGGCAACTTACGCAAAGTCGCTCGCTTGCAGAGACCCAGTGGGAGACTCCGGGAAAGTCGCGGTATCCGTGCCCGGCCCAATTATGAGCTTCGTGCTGTTCGGGAATTTCGACATATCTCCTGTTAGAAATGTAAATATCGAATCTCGAGGCTCGGATTGGAGTCTTGCCGATATGGTCATAGTGCTATCGCAATTGGATCAGATGTCAATATCGACTCTTGAGCTCGGAGTGGGGTCTTACCGAATGACTGTAAATTTTAATTAATATGACGGGGGCTCGGTTTCAATCGAGATGGGCTCACCTCCAAATGACGGTGTCTATGCTCGCAAGGGGGATCCCTCCGTCCTCAAGTAGCTCCGCGATGTCCTTGGGTTCATTCACTGTAAACAGCCCGGAGGAGAAGAAGCTCGCGATGCTAGGGACGAAGTTCAACGGGTCTTTGCGCATGCCGAGGTCGAACATGACACGTTTCTGGGTCGGTTTATGCTCGATGAGGAAAGCGAACATGGGAAAGTCCATGGACTCGTGTCCCGGAAGCACAGGCTGAACGAAGGCGTGGGAGGTGTTGGTAAGCCTGGCGACTCCGACGTTGAAAACCTTGACGTCCACGGTAGAATAAGAGGAGGGAATTCCGAAGTCGTGGTGCGAGGCGACTGTCGCGCCAATGAGCAAAGTAAGGGACAACGATTGAAGGAGGAGCATGTTGGACGGATTTCACGGTTTAGTCGCCATGCAAACTCGCCCCAGTATTTATATCACAGATATGCGTTGCCTGAAACGAATTATTGATCAATATCTCCATCCGAGGTGGCTCACAAATCGTTGATCGAGAGCGCTGAGTAATCTCGGCAATCGCCGCTTAGTCAACCATGTTTCAAACTGTGCTAGATTTCTCAGCGCCGTAAGAAACATGCGGACTGTGCCCCCCAGAACGGATGGGGCCGCCCCTTCAGGCGGCCCAGGCTTGAAGGTGTCTTTCCAATCTTTGTGCGGGAATGCGGTGAAAACCAAGTGGCTGTTCCAGGAACGCGTCGTAGCGGCCGGGAAGGTAATCCGAAGCGCCCATTCGCTGCGTAATTTGAACCCGCAGCGAATGGGCCTATTCCCGAGGCAAACGGACACTATTTGAGCCCGGGGCAGCTGTCCTGGTGAAATGATCAAACATGCTTGGTTAAAACAAAAATAACTTTACACGGAATGTAAGGTAGGTGTCAGAAAAAAATTCCGAATTGACCTTTCGCTGCGTATTCTCGACACAAATTGAACGCGCCTACTCCCGAGAGAAACGGCCCGGATTTGAGCCCGGGGCAGCTGTTCTCGCCAAAATTATCGAAGAAAATCGATCAAAACAGGAATACCTGAGCCACAAATGTGGTTTAGGCCTTGAACGAAATTCTGAGGATGCTGTTCGCGGGCATTATCAATGCGGATCGAATGGTCCTACTCCCGAGGAAACCGGCCATGATTTGAGGCCGGGGCGGCTGTCCTCTTCCAAAACATCGAAACCAACCCAAAATGGAAAAAAAATCGTCCGCGCCCTAAGTTCTGCAAAGAGCTGTAAAAACACTCCCCCAAAATCCATGAGAAACACCTGAACAGCGCGGTTTTGGGGATTCTTCGCGCTCTTGCCCTCGGAGGACCTGGGCCAGCACACGAAATCCGTCATTTATGGATTCAACCATGAGTATGCCACTTAATCGAACAAGTAATGCCTATCCTTGGGTAAATGGGTGCCATCCAGTCCATTCCAGGCAGATTCTGCCAAAATGACCGAATTACTCGTTATAACCGCCAGACTTAGGTCAGAGGAAACCCCCAAACTGAGGACTTCAAAACCGGTTTATAAACACCTGTTTATAAACCAGAATAAAATAGAGCCCTATTTTCCATGCTCACCACGACTTTTTTTGTCCGGGCGAGCGGAAATTTAAACCAAGAGCTTCCGCGAGCCAATGCGCGCCCCTTGCGCAGGTTATTCATTTTCTGCGCACTTCGACGCACTGGCAATTGAGGAGCTTCCATTAGCGCGCAAAGTGCAGGTCTGGGCCATATTTGTGCTCACAGCGCGACCCGGAGTTCCAAAGTTCCGATGTGCAAGAGCCTTGGCGGCAAATCAATTAGAAAAGAATGTTTCACATACGATGCGGAATGATCGAGCCTGGAGTCGAGCCAGGATCCAGCCCTCTCCTCCTTAGTCGTCTACACGGAGTTCGAAGCAAGTGAGGATACGCTTCCTTGGGCCACTCGATCTGCGCACGACTCAAACTACCTCTTGCATGTACAGTTTTTCGTGTACGCGCATGTACAGCTTTTTCTGTATGACAAGGATGATGGGAAATTTTATTCACGGATGATTTCCGCTGCATTGGCATGAAAAGAGGATGTGAAGTTAATCCCTAGTGGCGGTGGCGCGAATGACGGGAAAGGCAGGGGAAAAGCCTCCGTGGCATGCTGAATGATGATGTTACCGTGATACCTGTCAGACAAAGGTGTTATATAGGACTCGCTCTTCAATCGGAGCAGCACCCGCTGCGATGCCCTCTGCGTTCGATATCTTGGGTGCCATAGCCTTCGCTCAAGGCGTTATCACAGTGCTCATCACGATCAACATCACACTACTCGTCCGGGCACAAGAGGCAAGTACCCAGCGAATACTCGCCTAAGGCGCATGCGCTCACCTGCACCCACCGGCAGACATTCGAAAGCGTATATGCGATCAAGGCGCTGAAGCGGCGGCTCGAGAAGATCCCGGTGGCGGATTTGTCCCAAGACAGCCAAAACGAGTACGTCAGGATCAACGACAAATTAAGGAGGGGCGCAGCTTATTGGCTTGTCTCCTTGACGCGGATGATCTTCGCGCGCACAAAGCCGCTCCAGGAGCTAACCGCGCAAGTCTCTGAGCTGGAGGCAGAAGCGGCCCAGGTCCGTGGGTCCCCAATATCCGTGTTTTGCACCGATTGACGCGTGCGAACCCATTTACAGACGCGCTTGGTAAATGCGGTGGGCGAGGTAGTCAGTAACGCATTTCGGAATGCCGGTCTAGCGCCTCATGGTGGCGTCTGCGCGGCGTGTGGGCACAACAATGGAGGCCGGGACAGGGACAATCAAGAGGGGCCTGCCGCTGGAGGCTAAGGTGCGCGGGGGAGTATTCTTCGTTTAAACGCATACTAACCATGCGCATTTGTGCAGCCGCGCCTGTCCGCTACGAATGAGCCGATTGCTGAATGAGGACTTTGGAGCGGGGTGAGACACGGAAGGGGGATGAGAGGAAAAGGCTGATGAGGAGCGGTGGCGCAGAGCAGGTCAGCACCCGCTATGGACACCGAGAGTGGGACGCGAGAGTAGGGGACGTAAGCTGTAACTGTGTAAGAGGACATATGGAATGAGAGAGAGACAATGAAGCTGGAAGGGGAACAACCTGAAAAACCCTCTCGCCATACATAAAGGACAAAAAATCACTGCACGCCTACGGGGGAATGAAGTAAGAACATGGACCTGGTAGTAATCGCACCTGCACTTGATATAACGGTGGCGAGGTCAATACTCGCAGGAGTTCCTGGTTCGACTCCAGGTCAGGTCATGACATGTGAAAATATTTTTCGTTCCAAGCGAAGGTACAAGACATTCATGCTTGCGAGGACGTCTGCAGTCTCAACATTGCACACCTGGCGCGCTGAGGAAGATTGGTGCGCAAGAGAAATCTCGGCGGTGCGGAATCGGCTCGTAGGCGCTCCTCCCCCTTACCGTGCATACTTGAACACTGAATTACTGCATGTCTACGGGGGACTGCCGTAGGAAGTAGACCTAGTAGCGAAATGAATCGCACCGGCACTTGATAAGTAGTTGCGAGGTTTATACCTGCGGGAGTTCCTGGTTCGACCCCAGGCTAGGTCATGGCATGGGAAAATCTTGCAATCTTTTTCGTTCCAAGCGAAGGTACAAGACATTCAGGCTTGCGAGGACGACCTGTCTCTCAATATTACACACCTGGCGCGCTGAGGAAGATTGGTGCTCAAGAGAAATCTCGGCGGTGCGGAATCGGCTCGTAGGCGCTCCTCCCCCTTACCGTGCATACTTGAACACTAAATTAGTGCATGTCTACGGGGGCCTGGAGTAAGAAATAAGGCCTAGTAGCGAAAGGAATCGCACCTGCATTGATTAAGGATAGTATCTGCAAAGTCTGATAAAAGCAGGGATCCCTGGTTCGACTCCAGGCTAGGTCGTGCCCCACTTCCTTGTGCTTTTTTGGCCCACAATTTCAGTCGTGGAGGGGAAGCGAGGGCATCGCTATGTCTTTTACTCGACGTGGTGAGAAGCTTTGAGCGGGGAGGGACGGACTGGGGGCGCGGCTTCGCAATCGTCTGACGGAAGCTCAGCTCCCTGCATAAGCGTGCAGAATCGAGGGAATGGTAGACATATATGCGCGGAGTGCAATGAGAAATGGACCTGGTAGCGAAAAGGAAACGCACCCTGGGTGATTTGTCAAGAAAGATGTCAATGCGTAATCAGTCGAGGGGGATTCTGGTTCGAGTCCAGGCTGGGTCATGACCAGAAAGTTGAGGTCTTTTTTAGAGCGCAACTCATTCTGACTGCGTCCACAGTTGATGACCGACGGCGGACTGGTGGTCACTGTGCGTCGAATGTTTGGAATACATTCAATTGCACCCCGATCGAATACGGCACAACAATGACTGTCAATGCAACGCAACTTTATACAGAGGGGACGCAAGATGTGATCCAAGCGCATACCACCAATGAGCAGTGATCGCGAGCGTTGCACGCAGATGCACGATGGCGGATTGGTGTATGGGTAGGGTCGGGAAACACGAGAGCTCGGCGCAGGCGCGGGACGTGAGGTACAGCGCAGAACCGGCTCGACGAAAACGTTCCGAGCGCGTGCCCCAGACGGGCCGCGCACCCGAACACGGAGCAGACAGAGAGGGGCTGCGCGCGAGATCCAGGCGCGGGGCCGGAAAGACGGGGTCGCTGGGCATGGGATGATTCGCGGCGACGGAGAGCGGGTGCTAGACTGACAGAACGTCCAACACTGTTACTCGAAGGACGCGCGTTTGCCAAGGTTTCCGGTTTTTCTTCGAGTGCGTCCGCCCCCGCTCAGACTTCTCAGGAAACTGGATCCCCAAACACGGGTTCAACCCAGACCGTGGACAGGTGATAAATTATATATTCCGCACTCACCTTATGTGCCTCACCGTGCCCAACGAACAGAAACGGGGCGCCAGCCGGGGCTATAGCGGCGTCCGTGGTGATCGTCGTCCTCATTTTCGCTCTCGCCATCTTCGTGTGGTGGTGGATCCGAAGACGACGACAGCGGATTCGAGAACTCAGGTTCCCAGCACAATTCCTCGAATCAACGTCGCCAGTTCAACGTGTAGTGCGGAGTCCGTCCATAATCAAGGTTGCTGCCGCGACGGATGTTGAAACGCGAGCCGAAGTCGCTGAGACAACGATGGCGCAGGGAGTCGCGTTGGATGAGACCCAGACAGAGAAGGGTGCTCCAGCGCGGACTCACAACCTGCGGTTGATAAACTTCTCGGACGTTCCAGCAGAAGGAGCCGCAGCGCAAGCCAGCAACGCACAAGATGCTGCACACACCGAGGAAGCGGTGACCGTCCGATTGCGCCGTGTAGAGGCGCAGTTAGCTTCTCTGTTGACCCCGGCGGTTGAATCGCCGGAAGAGTTGCCGCCGGGTTATTGGGAATAAAATTGTAACTGCTAAGTATTATTTGCATTTATACAGAGGATATCGTTGAGCGAATAAGGAACGAAGATTTCGAGCGGTGCGTTTTGAGTGGATCAGCCAACTGGGGGAAGAAGCGCAGAAAGCAGTGAGAAGCATAAGTAGAAGAACTGTGTATGCCAAAGGCGAGTCGCGCAAAATACACAACGAGGAAAGACTCGAGGGGCCATAGCCATTAGTATGTTGTGCCAGGTGGGATTCAATACACTTACGCACCGCTGTGGGCCTCGGAGACATCAAATATAAGTTCACGCTGCGGCAGTCTGCGGCGGTCTGCGGCAAACAAACAGCGGCAAATACGAATCTAACCTATGCATGCGGCACGCTCTGAGTTTTGACTTTTCGCCCCACGACTTTGAGGCGCACGTGAGCGGCATGTCGGCGACCTGCAAACATTTTGAAGCTCCGCGGCTGGCCATTGTTGTAACACCTCTTTCTTCCGTACCACCACCTCCCGACCCCGACCCCACCGATACCCGTCCCACGCTCGCATTCGTCTCATCGCCGCCCTCCCTCCCTTATCCCTAGATACTCGTCGTGCGGTCACCTTGCCGCCGCCACGGCGAATGTCGACGTTAGACTCTCGGGCTGTCATCGGACAGGTGGTGGCATGACGCTGCCGCCATATTTATGAGTAAGCTCTTCTCCCCATGCTCTGCCAGCGCCATATCGGGTTGCTAAAACGTCGGGGTCGCGCTTCCGTCCCGCTCACCTTGCCGCCTCGGCGTCGCAGCCTGTCGGTCGTCCCGCGCCGCGCGACAGCTCCCCTTTCATGCGCCGCAATCGGTCTTCCTCGCGTCACAATTATTCCAATATACGTCGTATGTTGTTCACACCGTCCGTTTTTATCCCCTTGACGCGTCAGAGATCGCGTCGGCGCGTCAAACGACGCGTCGGGGCATTTATCTACATGTACTTGTGAAATTGTTCTGTAGCCCTTACTGCATTGAACCTAATTTTTTGCATTTGAATCTACTGTGCCACTCAAATACCTTCCTGATGCTTAGCCACAACTGGACCATGTCATAGAATGCCACCTCCACAGTCTTCTGGCGTCAAGGGACGGAGTTTCAAATGTGCCGGGCGGCTACATCACGTGAAGTCAAAGTCGTGGGGCGAAAAATACGCAACTCACGCTCTGTGTCTGTTTGCGGCAATCTTTGTCTACCTCTGTCCACGGCACTCTTTGGTTCTGTCTGCACCCTTCTTATGTCTTTATCGTACCCGCTCGTAGGGCTTTCTCCGCCCCCGGCTGTTATATCTTCGCTCTAAGTTATCATCCCTGCTTGTCTTCACTGTCGTCTCAACCTAATATTTTCCCTCGATCTATGTGTCGATGGAGATCATGGGGATCCCTTTGCACTGTCCAGCAATCCTATGATCTCCATTTATCTGCCACCCTGTATCTTCGACTGTCACACTTTTGGTCTCTGCATCCACTGATACAGCTTCAGAAGTGGTCCAAGATCCGTTCGACTCAGAGTTTGATGATATTTCCTTGCCCACTGGGCTCTGATTTTGACTTGGGAATAGAGCCTTACTTACAAAGAGCAGCTATACACTCTTTTGTGATATCCTCTTCTCTGCGGCAATAGTACAGCCACTCTGCGGCAATCCACTGCCGCTTTGCCGGGACATTTTTAATTGTCTCCCGCTTGATTGGAGCTTACACCTTATTTCTTGCCATAGAATACCCATTAATTTTTCAAAAAGAAATCGGTGGTGGGACTTGAATCGCTCTGCGGCACTTGCACAGCCACTCTGCGGCACTGTTCGTTGAGTAGAATGATTGTTTCTCCGTTGTCCTCTCATTCCGTGCCGCTGTATGATGTTGCCTGACCGTCTCCAGATGGACTCTTTGAAAGCTCTGCAATGAAATGTCTCTCAGGACCGGCACATTACCCTGCGGCACATTGCGCTGCGGCACTTGCACAGCCACTCTGCGGCATTTTTTCTTAGCACTGCCGCAACCGTCCGGAGATGATTTTGAGATTAATTGATTAACCAATACTTATGCATATATTAGACACTTTGGTCAGAGGATACACTTCCACCTGCCGTTCGAACAAAGTTATTCGAAGTCTAGTCTTCATTGGAAAAACACTCACTGCAGTGTACCAACTCAACATTCCCGAGATTGGTGGATTTTAGGTTACAGAGCTGCTCGAAAGAGCAGATTACATGCTACGGACTCTCGAGAGTTGTCAAAAATCTCATTGAAGCATGTTTAGTATCCTCATATGTGCAGTGCTCATTCAACAAATCCAACCCTTCATCGAGAGGACCCCATACCGTCGTTTATCCAGTGAACCACCAAGATCACGAAAATCCCTCGCTCACCACGATATTTAATCAAGCCCAGCATCAATTACTCAAAATTCTGAGGGAATTTGACGACGCCCATGCAGTCGTTGAGACCTTCAATGAATATTTCGCTGGCAAGAGGTCGGTTGACCGAGCTGACGGGCGGATGAATGGATACGCATCTTTGGCATAATTCCAACGCCCGAACTTGAAACAAGAAGTCGAAGACGGTGAAGGCACCTCTGAGGAGTACGACACCAGCAGCATGGCCTCGACACCTTTGCCCTACGTAGCATTACCAGTTGTATCATGATTTCTTCCCTCTGATTATTGATTCTCCTCGTTTCTTGATACTGAGTAAGCTATGCAAAAGGACCTGATAATTGGGCAATCGACGACGACAACGCTTGAACGATGCGGGCGATGGTCATCGAGGTACTACTTTTAAGTGCGGGGATGAGCGCGCGACTGGACAGTATTTAAATTGGTTAGGCAGGAGTTACATATACATCCTACGCAATGAGCGATGGAGCGCCGCAGCGTGCGGCAATGTATGCGGGATTGCAGCCATGCTGCGGCAGTATTGCCACTGCTTGCGGCAATTTCAAATTTTGTTGCGGCAGTCTGCGGCAGTTGCAGCGGCACAGCGGCACTTCCCCCCTGCCCAAGATGCAACTACTCAACTGAAGCAGCTGTGTACTGTACACTCCTGCTTGCACCCTGCAATTCCAGCGCCTCGACGTGCGCACATGTTCAGCACAGCTGCCCCAGTTATATATTGTTTACCCAAATCGCTGGGCAGCAAAGCCGGGTTCGATTTCTTTGTGTGCTCATTCTCCCGGGTCGGATCGCCCCAGATCAACCGTGAAAACGATTAAAATCCGTTCCATAGCGGGGGGTAAACCAGAGGTATAAAGCGGGCGTGGTGTGCGGTACACAGTTGCTTCAGTTTGCCATGTGCCGATAGACCCTTGGGCAGCAGATCCGGGTTCGACCCCCCGGCGCCGGCATCCACCGGTTCAAGGATTTCTCTTTGACTTTTGTGCAAGCACACCCGTCGAAGGCGTACTAGCCCCAGATAAAATGAGCAACGATCGAGTCGGATCTAACGCAGTGCACCATCCTCGCCGCGCATCCTTCCACTTTCAACCGGTGAATTAGACATTCAGAAAGATCGCGCTTGAATCACCAACCTGACGCGGGGTATTGCTCATTTACATAATCCATAGATTCGTGGATGATAATGCCCAGCAGTCGTGCACCTGAGGATCGTAGGCAATAAGCGGGCGGGCGTGGTGTACGGTACACGGCTGCCTGACTTCATGTTTCGGCACACCACCGTGAGCAGTACATCCGGGTTCGACGCCCGGCGCAACTCTTTTTAATCTTTGCTCACCAGCCTGTCGGTTCAGCAGAGGTGGGTTGAGCCCCGGGCCTCTGAGACAGTGAGTGGTGATGCGCACCAGCGCTCCCTTAGCGTGGGATCCGGAGTTTGCGACAGCTGGGTTGCGACCGGAGTTTCCCACGTTTGATTCAATTTCCCTTTTTGGTTTCCGGACTTGTTCCTAGCTCGACTGACGGAGTTCAACTCCGTACGGAATTCTTGCGACCGGCGTTTCCCACGGTTTGACACAATTTCCCTTTTCGGTTTCCGGACTTGTTCCTGGCTCGACTGACGGAGTTCAACTCCGTACGGACTTCTTGACACTCCGCTCCGTATACAGCCACACTGTACGAGTCATAGAGGCCGCCGTGTGTCTCCATTTAGATATTTATTCCCCCCCTTGTACTATAAAAGGCCCCCGAGTTTACAATGTACAGCAGTGACTTGCACCCCCCTGCAATACAGCTCACATTAGCCTCGCTTCAGCGCATCGCTTCGCAGCGTATCGCCCTCGTCCTCGCGTCCTCCGTCGTCCTCCGATCACAGTCCTTCCCCGCATTAGATATCGACCCCGTATTAAATTAGCTTAGTGTCCTACGTCGACCCCCGATCACCATCTTTAGCCTTCGCAGTATTAGCCCCGTGTCCTTCGCCGCCCTCGACCACAGTTGCGCACCGTTTGCGCTCACGCCCTCGTCCACGCCTCTCGCCCATAACCGGAGTCACCCTCACACTTACCTGACTGGCATTGGGACGTCTTAGACCCACCTCGCACACCCTCGTCTATTACTCCCGCACTCGGAGTTGTTGTTGTTCATTTATTTGTTCAGCTCCCGCTCTTAGCCCCGGAGTAGGCGTATCAGTGGGCACTGAACAGGATCATGGGCGACCCAACTCGCTATCACCACATCTTTCCTGTGTGCTCAGAGTCCCTCAGGGGTCAAACCTGAAGCCGAATCTGGTCAATGTCAAGGGGTTTAAATGCGAGGTAATAAGCGGGTGTAGTGTAAGGTACACAGCTGGCTGCTGCCTTGGTTAGTTGAATCACTGTCATGAAAAGCGTCGAGCAGCAGATCCGGGTTCGACTCCCGTCGCCCCCATGGGACCTCCGGGCACCGCTTTTTTCTCGTGACTTGACGGGGGTTTCACTCGTAAGGACTACGTGGGCGTGCGGTACGTACAGCACACAACTGCCTCAATTAAGAATCCCGTGAAATGCCTTGGAACGGCAGATCCGCGGTTCGACCTGCGTTCTTGACCTGAGCATTGGGCTCTCCGCATCCGCTGGTGCAAATCCCCTCCTAAATACGAGCACACGATCTCCGCCCTTGACTCCACCCGGATTTGCCGTCTCTGCGATCTTGTGACCACGGTCTAGAATCGCGAGTTTGCTACTTGCAATTGACTCTCCTGAGTGTTGCCAGTGCGCAACGCATGCGCTGTACATACATCTACGAGCCCCAGCGCTCTCTCCGTTCCGAGCACACTTCGCGAAACCGTACAGACCCAAAGGACAAAAAGAGCACTACTCCAATCATATGACCGAGTCCCGAGTCGAACGGGGGATCCCATTTGTACCTACGCATTGGATACAAGAAGGGGATGCGGACCGTTCACCTGGTCCTCTCTACCCCGCTACTCCCTCGCTCTTATACCACGGGTTCCTCTAAGGAGTCGCCGACAACCTGCGCCAGACCGCTAGGTATGTATTTGATATCTGGCCTGATGCCCGGGCCTGCGTCGAACGAGGCGAATCCACCTCAGGCTTCAGCGCAGAAAGATGGGGACAACCCGACGCATAGTTTCTCAGCTGAACCACAGCCGTATGGCATTCAGTCACAAAATTGGAACAGATAACAGATATCCGCCCCCGCCTCGATATCCAACTCACAGCTTCTTAGTGAAGCCCTCTTCTTCCAATGACGACTCGAGAATATGGTTACCGCAGAAAATATATCGAGCTGAACTGTGCGTGAACTCGACAAGAACCGCATTATGCATTGCAATTAGCGAGCACGAGCTTGACCCTTCTGAGTGCTACGCAAGACATGCGCTGTACATGCATTTACGAGCCCCAGCGCTCGCTCCGTTCTGAGCACACTACTTTCACTTCGCGAAACCGTACGGACCCAGAGGACAAAAAGGGCAACAGTGGATGCGGACCGTCCGCTACCCGGGTTTCTCCACCCCGCTACCCCCTCGCTCTTATACCACTGGTACCTCAAAGGCGTCGCCGAAAACCTGCGCCAGTCCGCTAGGTACTTGATATCGGTCATGATGCTCGGCCCTGCGTCGAACGAGGCGAATCCACCTCAGGCTTCACCGCAGGAAGATGGGAACGACCCGACGCATAGGCTCCCAGCTGAACCACAGCCGTCGCATGGGATTCAGTCACAAAATTGGAACAGATAACAGATATCCGCCTCCGCCTCGATAGCCAACTCACAGCTTCGTAGTCAAGCCCTCTTCTTCCAATGACGACTCGAGGATACGGTTACAGGAGAACATATATTGAGCTGAACTGTGCGCGAACTCGACAACAACCGCATTATGCATTGCAATTTGCGAGCACGAGCTTGACGTAGTCCTGGGGCCAATAAAGTTAGTACAGACCTGCAGCAAAGCCAAAAACAGAAACTGACGGCCATGATCCGATGTGTTTCCTTGGACGGGTGTCTGTTCCACGATACGACGATTAATCAGCCGGTATGCTCGGATGGTAGAAGGACACTCGCCCAGGAAGCCAATAGAATGAGTTCAACAGCGTCGAGCACTCCCCGGACAAATCCGTCTGCGACAAATTCGGTATGCAGGCGCCAGGAGTCTCAAAGCCCGGCGTCGTCCCCAGTACGGCATCCCAGAGCGGCGCAAAGTCGACAAACGCGACGTTCAGACCCTGGGCGCGCAAGGGAGTGAGACCGGCGAAGACGGCCTGCTTGAAAGCGTCGCCGGTGGTGGAGTGCGATCCGCGCCCGTAGTCGTCGAGCACGACGATGTTTTGGCGTTTGTGGGCGCTGCGGCGAGTTGCTCGATCTGTGTGAGAAGCTCCGCGGCGGCTTGGGGGAGGTGGTTTCCGTCGGCTGTAGATACGCATTATGATCAGACTAGAAACGAAATTCGTGCAAAGCGAGACGCACTGGACGAAGCGGAGACGTCACTACAAATCAAATGCATCAGACATCCACGATGTAAAGAATGACGGCGATCGCATACTTGATTCCGAAGAACACAGTGTACAGAGTTGTTGCCGGATTCAAGGCGTTATTTTGGCTCAGAAAAAGAGATGCTATGGCAGCCTCCGTTCACAAGACTATCCTGGTCTCGATGATAGAGACGACATACCTTGATGCAGGAAATCTGAGTGGCCGACTAAGCTCGGCCACAGGGTCACATTTATGACTGCGCCAGAGACCTTCATGAGGATTATCCCTCCTGTACAGAACGCACAGTCGGTAAAGGACGCACAGCGTAATCCTTGATGGTTGCGCCCAAATCGCTTGCAACGCCTTCGGCCCAGACAGGGCCGTCCGTAACACGACCGCCTGCGCGCGGGCTGGTGCCATTCAGTACGGCTGCCGGGAGGGTTCCGCCATTACTGCGTCCGCCAGAGGTGTACGAGTCCTGATATAATGACCATCAGTGGATGGTGCCTATGAATAATAAGAGCGGAACGCGCCCCGAAAGCGACCAGCGTTTTGATCCCGGCCGTCACAACCCCAGCGTTGGCGTTGGCAAACGTGCCGCCGAGCTTTCCGCACACTGGTGTGATTGCCAAGTGGACACCATCGTTCGTTTGGCACTCGACGGGCAGATGCACCGCGGCGACAACGGACAAAAGTGACAAAAGCGACGTCCAAAGCTGAATCATAGCAGCACTGAGTTTGAGGATGCTCCAGACTGTAAGCGTTCTTTAAGTACTTCCGAAAGCAACCGCCAGCAGAGCACGAGACACGGTCATGGCCTTGTGATTGAACGGTCCGCAAAGAGCGCAAACCGTACAGGTCCCGGTACAGGTCTGGTGGCGCGAGTCGACAGAGAATTCTGAACACAGTCAATTGAGGACTTGGAAGCGGCGGCCGAGGGTAGTTGATGCGTTGGCTTGCGTGACTCTGGTGGTCATCCCACAGTGATCTGTCGGGGTGAAGGGAATCGTCCTTCAGCGGCCTGCGGTTCAGACATTACGTTTGTGTATCCATGCTGGTTCCACGTAAGCGGAGGGACTAGGATGACCGACAGATGCGACACATTGTGTATTGAGTTGATCTTCGATCCAGTCATCCTACCCACCTGTGCACTTTATTAGCAGTCGGCTCGGAATTTGTTAAATTTAGCTGTGATTTGCGAACCAGGTGGCAGATTATCGTTGTGGGAGCGGTCTGGATGCTGGAATCAGGTCAGAATCCACCGCAGGGTGTGGAAACCCAGCATCTGGGTTAGACGTACCTCCTGATGAACTAGGATATACGAAAACGCTTGATTGCGGAGCATCTATGACCACCATGTTAGTATGCGTTTATCAAAGGGGCTCATTAGCGGGAGCGATAACGATTCTTCCCAGTTCCCCACGCATGGGTCAAGTTTAACATGGCACTCACGGGTCTAATAATAAGGAGCGTCCAACACAAGGTCGGCTCGAAGTTATTCGTGATTAGCACGCTGCAGCTCCGACCATGACGTCGCATGGACCACACGCCTCCGTCCTGGTCCATGGCATCGAAGGGTTAATGGATTCCGCTGTTGACAGAACGAAGTGTGAGGTTGGATCACATCGACGGTTTTAGGCGTCGAGTTCCGGAATTCCTAGAACCGGATCGAGTAGCATTTATCCCGCCTATAAGTATACTTGAAGCTGCTTCCGAAATTAAGCGCACCGGATGAATCGTTTCTGCCTGTCCCTGGAGACCCACTCATCCATTGGGACGCCTGAAGCCGAGTCCTTGAAGTGTTGAATCGACCCAACCCTGGTCACCGGTCCCGATCACGGTTCAACTTGCAACCCAGGCACACCACAAGCAGGTTTAAAGCAACCTTAGGTGACGTCTCTAATAATACGAAACTCAGGCACATTGACTCACCCTGGTCGTCAGAAAGGCTCATTCCGGAGGATAACCAGGCCGGTGGTCTGGTAAACTTATCCTGCATCGCCGAATGTGCGTTTCGTGATAAGGGCGATGTTGGTTGAGCTGGCTCTCAGGCATGTCGTGTGGCGATGCGAACAGGCGGGCTCCATGTGCAAAGAAACGTCAGTAGTGGGACTCCGGGTTCGGGTGGAACATACCCGGTGGGGCGGATGAGGTAGTTATCGTCACGAGATCGTTCTATTCTCCCCCAAGGAAATCACTCTCGGTCACCGTTGGAGGCCGAGTACGGTGCCCTTGACCTTGACGTTCGGAGGCCGCCCGATGGTGGGGTGCGGGGGGGATTAGACGCCCAGCGGACCCACGCGCGGCGTTCTTTCTCGCTATCAGTCAAAATCTTCTCGCGTGCTCCCATGATCGCGCTCACCAGGGGCGAAATGCGAGCGCTATTGGCAGACATAAGTTCTATCGCCGAACCACAAGTCTGCTTCCGAATCTAATCCGCGGCCATTTTTAGCATGACATTGCGCGAGGTTCTGATTGGGAGCGGCCTTCCTTGCTGGTGACGCGGGCGCAGATATATAAGCCGCCAAAATTTGGGCCACGAGGGCTTCAATTTGTTAGCACCATGCGATCGCTACTGTTTTTCGCTATCGCGCTCGTGGTCACTGCCACCGCTATCCCGCTCGTCAGTGCCATTCTCTGTAGTTGCAGCTATTGAAGACTGACCCGTTCCGTGCGCAGAATGCAGTCCCTGGCGTTGCCCGTGTAGCAAACGGTGAATTCGCTGTTGAGGAGGTAAGTCGCTCCGTGGAGATGCTGCAGTACTTGACACAGACGCAGATGGTAGCCGCGCGCCATGACTCGGGACCAAAGCAGGGAGATGCGCCCCCGTGGAGACGCGGCGGATGCACAAACGATGCACCCGCCTGGAGACGGGATAAGCCAGGGCAGGCGGACACTGTAGGGCACGGATGCACGGACGATGCGCCAGCGTGGCGGTAGTGTCCTCGCAATCAGGT